ATTTTTTAAATTTTTTTTTTTCTTTTTTTTTTTCCATGTCCGGCAACGGATTGCAACCCTCAGTGTCGCGCCCGTACTGGACCGGTGACCGGCAACGGGATCGCAACCCTCGGTGTTGCTCCCGCGCCTCGTACAAGTAAGTAAGTCATAATTATCATTATAATGTTTTTTACTCCTGGTTTTATTTTAACTCATTGCATTTTTAAAAATTTTTAAGATGTGTTTTAAACACTTCACAGCTCTCCTCCCTGCCCCTGTCCAGGGTTCCTCTCAGCAGGTGGCAGGTGAGTGCTGACATCAGAGTCCCTGTTCTCTCTTTTTAAGATGTGTTTTAAACACTTCACAGCTCTCCTCGCTGCCGCTGTCCAGGGTTCCTCTCAGCAGGTGGCAGGTGAGTGCTGACATCAGAGTCCCTGTTCTCTCGGTACCCACTTCTCAGCAAATGCCCTTCATCTGCCTTGAAGACCCACCTAGAACAGTCCTCCTCTTTCCTTCTAAGTCATTTCTTGCAATTTTTCTAAGTCTTTTTCCTTCTTTCCCTGCCTCCCTCCCTATCCTTTCGTTAAATACCTCCTTTCTTGTGAAGCACTGAGCCCTGCTTGAGACAGAAGAAACTCGTGGAAGTTCTGTGTCTTTGGCCAGGTTTCCATTTTTTCTATTTGTGATGCTGGTGAGGTATGGCTTTGGCCTTTGGATTCTCATACATTTGCTTCAGTACTATGACTATTTTTTTTTTGGAAGCTATGCTCAGATGTACTGTGAGCTATGTCAACGCTAAGTTGTTATTGATATTCTGACCCTAAAGAGATTCTGATATATGCAAATTAGAGCTTGTTAAACATAAAGAAAATGCTTTCATTAAACTTGGCTTTTTGTAATCCTGTACGTCTAAATTCTTAATTAAAAATTACTTATATTATGGGGAATGATTTCTTGATTGTTATGTGCACAAGATGGGTATGTTATGTGCATACTAGTTTGTGCTAGACTATGGACAATATTATCTTGGTATGAGTCCTTACAGCTGCCCCTGAGGTATGGGATTTATCTTTTCTATTTCACACACAATGAGGCCAGGGCTCAGAGGAACCAAGGGGCTTTTACCCAAGGCCACACAGCTCGTAAGGACCAAGCCCAGGTCTCACTGACTCCATATGAGAGTTATAGAAAGTGCTGGAAAAGCAACACAAGAGAGGCTTATCTTGGGTTGAGGTGATTCAAGAAAGATGGGTTTCGTGTTTTTTTTCTTGATGTATTGGGGGATATTTGTGATTTTCCCAAAAGTACCACCCTTCTGAAGTGTGTAAACAAACATTCCATTACAGTGTGTAACTCCCAACTCTTCATTGTAGGTTGCTTTGTAGACAAGGTCTCCTTCCCGAACTTTGAGTCAGCCTTTCTTTTGAGCAGCTCGTTTTTAACTTTTCTGTTTATGGTCATCAACTCCTCGAAAATTCCCTGTATCTGCCTCAATTCATATGTGAAGGGCCGTTATGAAGGCCCTTTGAAAATCAAGAATGGCAGATACTCTGTTTCCCAGCGTATTCTAAAGTCCTCATCCTGTGGATCAGGGCAGCTGAGAGAAGTCACCCTGGAGCTGGGCCCTCAGTTTGTGACCAGGACACTGTCAAGAGAGACAGTACTCTGAGCTAGAACACCAAGTTCAAATCCCAACTGCCCACTAGTGGTCCAGCTGAAGTGAATGAATACACTTATAGCTCCTAGAAGAGTGCCAGGCCTGTAGTAAGTGCTGGGTAAGTTCTGGCTGTTATTGAGTAGCAGAAAATCCCCAAGTCTATATGACTAGGGAGAGGGGAAAGCGAGGGGTAGCTTTGAGTTCTTGAGGAAACCCAGATAAAGAAAGTAGTAATGAATCAGCCTTGGTCCTTTCAGATGGGTCATCCTGTTCAAGGACACAAAGGATCTGTCTTCTCCAAACTAGTAGTCTGTTCTCATGGGAAAAGAACTGACCACCAGAGTCTTGGAGAGGATTATATAAGTCAACACAGATGCCCACAGTCTGGCTTTAGCTAAAGAAGCAATGTCAGTCAATGGCACCTTCCAACCAGAATCCCAGGGCCAGCCCAGACCCTGGGGATGCTAACTGTAAGCAAACCTCCACCTCCACCACCACCACCACCCCCACTATGGGAGAGGCCTCCTGGGCCCTGGGCCAGTCAGGACCTACTTCTCCCTGAGGCTGGGGCTGTCTGGCCTTCCCCTTGCCTGGCCAGATTGGGCTTCAGACCCCAGCTCCTGCTGTGGGGTTCAGCCAGCCTTTCCCAAGCAAATTCCACTGGTCCCTTCATCTGAATCTTCTGAGCCCTACATCATTGGCCTAAAAACACCTCTTTTGTTTTTTTTTGTTGTTGTTGTTGTTGTTTATTTGTTTTACTTTGATTCTTTTTTTAAAAAAAATATTTTGTTTTTTTTGTTGTTGTTGTTGTTGTTTATTTGTTTTACTTTGATTCTTTTTTTAAAAAAAATAGTACATAAGGTTGGGAAAAGTAAGGAAGGAGGGAGGGAGGGAAAAGAGGAAAGAAGAAAGGAAAGAAACTTGTGTTATAAAGAGTTTTACACCATATGTAAGTCTCCCTCACTCCCCACTTCGGTTTCTCAGATTTAACCAGAATTCATAGTTTTCTTTGAATCTTTGGAGAAATTTTATCCACCCCACATGAATATATGTAAACCTTTTTAAAATGTATATGTGATTTAACTCCTCCATGCCTTACTTTTTTTGCGTGTGGGGAGAGGAGTGGCTGGCCTTTTCAGGGATCCAAACCCTTGACCTTGGTGTCGTCAACACTGTGCTCTTAACCAACTGAGCTAACCAGCCGGCCCCCTTACGTTTTTTAACTTTATATGTGTTAAAGATCTTTCCATAGAATCAATACAGTTCTACCTCTTTTGTATCTTTCTATTTATTTATTTTATGAGGATGAAATATAAAAATAGTTCCATGACATACTAGAATTCTGAACTCTTATGTATCTAACAATGTAGCTAAAAGTAAAGGACATGAAACTTGGAATTGTAAGGAGAAATGGATTGATCCACAATTACACAGCAGTGACTTAAGCAAGTCCCTCAGAGACTAATACACGTATAGATCAACAGGCTACAAGAAAAGGATAATGACCTAGGGGATTTGAACCACACCATTAATGAGTTTGAGTGGAAGTGTGAGGAACACCGTATTTGACAATTGGAGAATACACATTCTTTACAGACTCACATGGGATATTTTAAAAACCTGGTGAGTACTTGGCCATAAACGAAATGTCACTAATGGTAATTTTGTAGTTGTCATTTCTAAAATGGTTTTGTCTTTTTCCTCTGTTTCTTTGCTGCGTTCTACCAGTTCCTATTTCACATCTGCCTATTTCATGACCACCTAGACTCCGAATGCTTTTATTTCTGCTTTATGGTCTTTTTTTTAGCTATAATTGCTTTCTGAGGGCTTTTTTGCTTTAATTCTTGGTGGAATGTTGGGTATAACTTTCATCTGCTTACGTGGCATTTTTCAGGTAAGTTTTCAGCAGCTCCAGGGAAGTTAGGTTGCTCTTTTTCATCATTTTTCTCCTGTGTTTGCTGATGCTGAGAACATTGCTCAGGACTAACACAGTGCCGGAAGTATCTCACTCCCCCATTGCTTTTCTCAGTAACACGTAATAACATCTGGCACAGATGGGTGCACATCTATAATTTACTTGACAAATTATTGACTCCCAATTTGGAGGAAAAGATTTGTGTCTATTTGGCTCACAGCTCATCCCCAGTCACTAAATCAGTGCCTTATACATAGTCGGCACTTAATAAATATTTGCTGAATAAATTAGCATAGGGAAGCTCAAAAAAAAAAAAAAACAGATGTGGAATTGAATTGGTCATTTCAAAATCCATTTATTAGAGCTTTAATAGATTATTACAGGAAGTGTGGACACCAGCAGTCTGAGAGAGGAGGGTGCTGGTTACCCACACACTTCCCAACTCTCTGTCCAAATCATCATTTCCATTCTGAATCCCGTGTGCTGGAGGGAACATGTGTAGCATTAAGAGGTGGAGCCCTTATATCCTCATGTGCTGTTGGTGGATACAAAATGCCTCTGCCTTGAGTGAAACAAGCAAAGCACAGAGGGATAAATACCGCATGTCCTCACTCATGACTGGGAGCTAAGAGAGAAAGAAGGAGGTAAAGAAAGACCACAGTGGTGTGTTGGACTTGCAGAAGGAGAGAGCACATCTAGGGATACAAGGTGGAGCGGAGGACAGGGGGAGGGGGGACGGTTGGGGATAATTGGGTGGGGGACACGGGGTACAATCGCAATTTGTGGTAATAGGCATGCTGCCAATATGGATCTGGCCTTCACATCTAGGGCACAAGGGGGGACAGTCAGCTTTGTATCTCATGAATATTCATAACCAATTTTTAAAAATGCCTCTGCCTCTGTAGGGGGCATTTGGCAAGATGCACAGGTCGGTTGATCTAGCCATTCTATTTCTAAGGATTTTTCCCATAAATGCTCACACAGTCTGCAAGGCTTTGTGTATAAGAAAAACTTACATAGCCATCAGTGTGGATGAGTGTTCCAAACTGGGTCCACACATCCTGTGATGCACACAATGAACCACTGAGATGTGGGTGAAAAGCTAGAACCATTTATATTTAGTGTCCATAGAAATAAAAGATAGAAATTAAGCTTCACTAATATTTAATATCAGAATTGACTCCACACTATCACTAGCAAAGCGGAGCAGATGGCCATGCAGATATTGAATTTCCACAGTGTCCAGAGGAAGGACGAGAGATTTCAACTCAAAGGGACAGACAGAGTCCCCCACCTCTCTTGCTGATTTGTTTTCAGCATCTGACTACTTTTTGCAGTTTCCTTGTGCTGGGTTGAGTGTATTTCTAGATTATTTTTTTGCTTAAGTTTATGTTGGTAAATACGTGAACAACCTCTGGCCATCTCAGGATGTGACCCTCACTCTTCTAGGGACGCCCTGGCGGAAGGAGCAGACAGAGGACCTGCAGCGGGTGCTCAGGGCGGTCAACAGGGAGATCCCACTGGTCATCGTCAGCGGCAACCACGACGTGGGCAACGTCCCCACAGCTGAGACCATCGAGGAATTCTGCCAGACTTGGGGAGACGACTATTTCAGCTTCTGGGTCGGAGGCGTCCTGTTCCTGGTCCTCAACTCCCAGTTCTTGTTCGATGCCTCCAGGTGCCCTGCCCTGAAGGAGGCCCAGGATCGATGGTTGGACCAGCAGCTGAGCATCGCAGGGCAGCAGAGGTGCCAGCATGCCATCGTCTTCCAGCACATCCCCCTGTTCCTGCAGAACATCGACGAGGATGACGACTACTTCAACCTTACCAAGTCCGTTCGGAAGGAGATGGCAGACAAGTTCATCAAAGCAGGTAGCAGCCTGGGCCACAGGTGTATGGGTGGAAAGGGGGTTTCCAGATCCTTCTCCTGCCCCTCTGCAGCTTGGCAAAGGGGAGAAAGGATGGGGCTTTGGACAGAACTGGGTTCTGATCCTAGCTCTACCATTCAGTGGTGGTGTGGCCCTGGACAAACTGCCTAATCTTTCCCAGCCTCAGTTTCCTCATCTGTAAAATAGGAATAGTAGTGGCAGCTGTGTCATAGAATGGCTGTGAGGACCAAATGAGAGGTTTGTAAAGCATCAAGAACAGCCCCTGGCCTGCCAGATACTACACCGGGGGTCGCTGCTCACAACTGAAGATGGAATCTGGGAGATAGGGCTCGTGGGGAGGAGGGCAGATCTGAATGTGGCTGCATGAACCTCGGGAGAAGGGAAGATGCTGGGGACATCTTTCCAGAAAGCAGGAACTTGCTCAAGGACAGATGATCTTTGAGAACCATGCTTTTCACCAGTATTAGTCAGATGGAACCCAGGAAGTCCTGGGATGTGGCTTTAGCGGGTGGGTCCTGAGGCCTCAGCAGTTTTCCTTTAGTGAGGCGTGTTAAGTTCTCTTCCAGAATCAGATTTAGTTCAATCTCACCCTGCTGTGGGTTTTTAGCTCACCATACATGTGACGCATGTGTATACACACACACACAAAGCTGACGCTCCATGTTTGCAGGTAAGACCTCAGCTTCTGCAGCACACTATGTGCCACAAGCCTACACACACCGTCTCTTCTCCTGGCAGCACCTCCCATGGGCGCCCCCAGAGAATCACTGTGTTCTAGGCTGGTTACCTGAATTACCAGGGGCTCAACAGGAGCTCAATTTTGACAACTCTTGTCTCTAATTCCTCTTTTTGGATCTTCCCAGGGCTTACTTGTATCAAACACTTCACAATTTAACCATTCGCGTATTTGTTATGGAGGAGGGGAGAGAGGTGGCCTGACCCAGTAACTGGCATTTATTTAAAAAAAAAAAAAAAATTCCTGACACTCTTCTTTTTATCTTTGAGTATTAAATGTGTTCTCATTTACTTGTGAAAAGTACAATAGGCCCTTCTATGTTTTTGAGACATTTTACAAAAAGCTCCCACAATTGGAGACATTTTCCAACTGTTCCATGAAGACAAGGTTGGAAAACTTCTATTAAGGGCTTTGAAATGTTATGCCATGCCTGAGTTAGTGTAGAAAACTGTTCTGATGACAGGGAAACGAAGCCTCGAGATGGCATCAGCACCACCATGGAGACTATTTTGTAACTAAGAAAAAGCCAGAGAGAACATTTAATGCCACTGAAATGATTCCTTTCATATCAGATGTTAAATGATGCAAATGCCATCCTCGTGACTGCTCTTTGTTCTCCGTCCTCGTCTGCCACACTCCTGAGTGGCAAGTGGCTCTGGGTTTCCCATCCTAGGACAGAGCACACAGGCAACCCCAGATATTGAGAAGACCCACAGCTCTGACAGGGCACCCTGCTGATCACCCACCAGGAGCCCAGCAGGAGACATCCTATCCAGGGTGCACCAGCGCCCTGCCCAGTTAGGGCTGCAGCCCCGCAAGCTCAGGAACCAGAGCTGTCGGCACCCCTAGAGCTGGTGGCGTTCACCCGGATTGGTGAACTCCAGTGATCCCAGGTCACAGACACTGATATCTACAACGAGAATGCCAACTGATTAACTTCAGGCCAGACTGATGCCTCCCCTTACTTGCAGCAGCACAGTCTCTTCCTGGAGGCAGAGCTATGCAGGAAGCCAAATTGCAACTAGGAGTTTGCTTGGCCAGCATGAGACAGAGCAGGGGGTCAGTGTCCTCTTTCCACCCTTAATGGCATCAGGCTCTGGAATCCTGATAACTTCATCTCCAGTAGGACGCACCTTACCTGGGAAGGCTCTGATGTTTCCTGTCCCTTTAATTTTAACTCAATATCTTTCCAGTCTGTCCATTTCTTCGGGCAGCCGTTGTCACATCTGGGTCCCAGCAGCAGCTCTGAACTGAGCTCCTTGCTCCACTCTTGCCCCTAGTTCTAGTCCATTCTCCACCTAGCAGCCAGAGGGGCAGGGAGCTCAAGAGCCTGAAACCCTCCCGAGGCTGCTTCTCACCCCCAGCTCCTTCCCAACTGAGTCTACTGTCCCCTCCCACCACCTCCATTTCACCTGGCCGAGCTCACTCAACCTAGACACCTTGCATGTGAAGTTCCCCACCACCTCCACCCCACGTTCTTCCTTAACTTTCCTTAATCCCAGCCCTTGTCAAGTGGACTCAGAAGTGTTGACTTGTCTGAATCCCCCACAAGACTGTCAGCTCCTTGAGGGCAGGGACAATGTTGCATTCGTCTCTGCATGGGGAGGCCTGGCTCAGGTGTTAGCTCACAGTATGTGCTCCATCCACATTTGTAGAATGAATGGAAGAAGTCTTTGATCATGCTCCGGCCCTCAGTGGCTGCCTGACACAGCTCATTTATTTGTTTAGCACTCATTGTAACCTCAGAGGAGCAAGTTGGGGCTGTCAAGGAGCTCCTGGCACAGCCTTTGGTCTTGGGGAAAGCCTCATGTGCATCTCTCTGCTATATCCTTGTGCTGGCTTTCCTGGTCACTCAGCGTCTGTATGTCTCTTCCCAAGTGTCCCCCCCTCTCCACTGTTTCCCCAGACACCACCTTCATGTGTGAGAAGGTGCTGGCCTTCGGGTCTTCACCTAAACCTACTTCACCAGGAAAGCCAGAGAGAGAGGAGCCCTCCCCGCAGTCACCTGTCAGTTTTAGTGGCTCTCCAAAGCAGGCCCTCTGCTTAATGACCTTTCAGACACAGAGCAAACCTCAGGCAGCATCAGAAAGGGATCCGAATCAGATGTGGACGCAGCTCTGTTGCAGGCCAAGTGACCTGTGTGGTTTGAAAACACAGGAGAGTGGGCTTTCATGGGGGTTGTGTGCAGAAAATGGCTCGCGTCACAGCAGTGTCATTTGAACTCATTTTGGAAAGCCAGAAGTTCAAGTGACATTTTGTGGAATTCATTAACTTAAAGACTGTGATAAAATTGGGGGTGAGGGTGGCAGATGGTATTTAGTATTGCCTCTGGCTTTTCCTCCCCCCACAGCAATATTATTCCCTGATACTATTTCAGTCTCATTTATCTTCTTGTGCTAAAATGCCAGTACTCAAAAATATGTCAAAAGCTCATCAGAATATCAGGGTAGCTTTTAATTATGATAATTGTGTTGTTATAAAATATCCTTTTAAAGAGCACATCCCTCCCCAAACCACCATGGAGGTAAAACCCAGCTTCCTTCCAGCAAGCTTAATGAATAATTGTGAATCATTGTGTGGGATGAATAAATGATTTAATAATGAGCATCAACAATCATCTCTTATTGTTGCATTAATTTCTTTAAATGGGATGAGGTAAACGAGGAGGAGGGATTGTCACTATACAACAGGCCACCTTGTGTGTAGGGATACATCGCTCTGTGAATCAAAACCCACGGGCTTCCAAGCTCAGGTTTCCCTAGAAACGGATGCATCCTGTTTCTACTTATGAATCTCCATAAAAAACCTTCTTTGTATGATACAAACACATTGTCAATAGCTGGTACACATAAACAGTTATCAGGACAGGACAGATACACAGATGTGAAGCAGCATCTGTTATTTTCTGCCTTCTTTTGCTCTGCCTGAGGATAAGCAATTTCATCACATCCATGGGATGTAGAAATTGTCTTTCCCCTTAATTCACCTGATACCCAGTTGGAGTTGCAAAGACAGATAGTAGATAATGAAATCTTGGTTGAACCTGGACATTGTCTCCATCCCGTGAGCCTCTTTCAGCAGAAGGTTAATAAGTGACCCAATTAATATGGATTCCAATTTAAAAACTCTATCTTAAAAAACAAAACTCAAGTTCTTTAACTGACCACGTTTCCCTTGATGTCTCAACTTTTCTTTTTTTCCATGCTCAACACAGAGATTAGAACTGTGTATTAGAGAGCCCTGAGCAAATTTGGCAATTATGAAAAATTCCAGTAGGTTGATCTTCCCTGCAAAAAGTTAATGAGTAATTTCACAGAGTTAGAGTTTCACCTCTAGTATGTATGCTTTTTAAAAAAGCGAGAGAGAGAGATCTTAGCCCGTGGTTATGGTTTTACAATTTCAAAGTTTCAAAGAATAAAAAGGTCAGGTTCTCAGCATCCACTTTGTATGAAAAATAAAACATCTAGTTCTACTCTAACAGCTTACTGAGTTGTATTGAAATTATTTGTTTTTACATCCTGATTCCTCCAGGAAATAAGGTCCCAGCTTTATTCACTTCTGTAAGCCCAGCCCCTAGCCAAGACTCCTCAGTAAGCAAATATTGGTTAAATAGAATTGAATTAAGCTTGATTCAGATGAGCAGAATCCTGGGTAATGTCCATAATCAACTATGTATTGGTGTTTACTAATTAACTTTCAGATGGGAAATGTACTACCTAGAGCAAGGATCAGCAGACTTTTTCCATAAAGGGTCAGACAGTCAACATTTTGGGCTCTGTAGCAACTACTCACCTCTGCCTTTGTATTGTGGCAGTATGGCCATGTTCCAATAAAACTTTACTTACAAAAAGAGGTGGCAGGCCTATAGGCTATGGTTTTTCCCACCCTTGGCTTGGAGAGATGTTCCCATTACAGTGTGATGCTCTTGCTCTCCCCAAAATCTTGTTCATACTATGTACATGTCTAAATCTAGGATGTTTCTGGCCATCCATTGGGGCAGCCACCCGACCCCCGGAAGGGTCTTCCCAGATCAAACCTCCTCTAGTTCATCCATCCATGGAAAGCATGCCTGGGCAAAGGACATATCCCACCAGAAGCCCATGATGGGATTCAGGGGTGAAGGTGGGATTGGAAGGACCATGGGAGTACTTAAAATGCCTAATACATGGGTGTTTATTTTAACATATATTAGAAAAAATATAACTAGTTGTATTAGTTTGTTTCTGTTGCTTATAACAGAATACTGA